TGATTGTGTTAGTCTTTCCATGGTGCACCGCTGCTTAATGTGCCACTCTGTTGGCTAACTTCTAGTGCTATCTGTCATGCACACTGGGGTTACGAGCCATCTTTCCATCCACCCAGAGACACACACTGCCTCATTGTCAAGCCCCTACTTCCGCATCATCCTCTCCTATCATGTTTTCACATCTGCATATGTTAGAAGGTATATTATGATAGCAATAGAGGTCTTGGTTTCAGTCTCACCAGTGGTGAAATAAATGGCTTTGAGCAGGCTCCACCATGATACAGCCATGTGGTTTTACCCTACCACTCAACCATCATAGAATCATTCTACAACTTGTCACCGTGATGGTGAACCTTATCCGTGTGCTTTCTTTCACATGAACGCTACAGTTTGCTATCTACCACAGCAAGCACTGAAAAACCTTTGTGAAATATGAACAAGGTCAATATACTAAAGCGTCTATCTGTCACTTCTGTCACTTGTTTTGACGAGCTATGAAAGAGATATCTCCATACAGCTTTAAATTATTAACTTTAAATTATTAGAACCCACAAGGACTCGGCCACCTGAACACATCAAACCCACTCACAATTTCATGGCAGACATAAGATTTTTTTTCTTCACTAATGGTACTTCTACCTTCACACGGCAAGGTTTAAAGAGATATAGATCAAAACACAATTTAGTTTTTCCATGTTGTAACGTATGGCACATATTTTACACTCTTCAAAGTTGTAAAGAATAAAGCCATTTAATATAAAAAGACTGTGGTTTCAGTCTTTCTTTATGGCATCACATTCACAATATAGGAGCTCACGTTGGAGTGACCACAATTAACTAGAACCGAAAACAGGAATATCTTTTAAGCTAAACATCGATGACCATTACATCTGTGCATAGCAGTGTATATATTAACATAGACTACAACGTATCAAAAGGTAACGTTCCATGATAATATTCCTTTGAAGCTACACTACAACACGAACAATTAAACACACTATTAAAGTTTGTTGACCTATCCTGTTTAATTAGTATACGCATACAGTCAGTAATTAAACTGAAGGCAATGATTTATTTTTCGAGGGAAGAAGTGCAGAGACAGCCAGAGTTGAAAAGCCAAGCCTCGAGGGTTCCAAATAATGAAGTGAGAAATGGTCTCACCCAAGGCAGGAGGCAGAGAATGACGAGAGGGGTAAATAGGAGGTCAACGCGAGACACGAGCATCACCTAACATTTTGAGCTGAACGGGTCTAAAAGCAGTTGAAAGGTCAACGAGAATCAGAAGTGAAAAAAATGCCTTTTAGTATTAGCTGAAACTGACTCCTTGAGTTTTGATGATCAATGATGAGGAAAAATCCATTTTAACATTCCACAAAAAAAGACCAGTTATAATTAAGCAAAAGTAAATTGTTGCCTTTTTAAAATACATATTTATATATCTGTGTGTATGTATCTATGAATAGATAGACACATGGATGGATAGACAGACAGAACTAGATCGGGTAGGTTAAATATTTATATACTAAAAATAGGATAAATGATACATAGATAAATGATAGACCAACAAATATGATCAACAGATAGCAATTCACCACTAGATAGATGCTTCAGTTACAAAGATTTACCAGTAAGAAGTCTATCACTGGCCTAAACTTTTTTAAGAGAAGGACTTAAAGGGTAAATGTCAGCTCTCAGGAAATTCCCCCTCTGAATAGAACATTGAAAATCACCTATAATTTCTGTTAACTTTTATTTCACTTGATAGTTCCTTTGTACAATAAAAATGTAGCAAATTTAATTTAATTTAAAGGGACACTATAGTCACCCAGACCACTTCAGCTCAATGAAGTGGTCTGGGTGCCAGGTCCCTCAGGTTTTAACCCTTCAGATGCAAACATAGCAGTTTCAGAGAAACTGCTATGTTTACATTTGGGGTTAAGCCAGCCTCTAGTGGCTGTCTTCCGTACAGCCACTAGAGGCACATCTGCGACGCTGGAGGCACGTTTCACCTCCGTCGCGCAGAGCATCCATAGGAAAGCTGACGTCGGACGGGGGGAACTGACGTCGGCAGGAGAGGAGAGGTCACCGGCGCCGCATTAAGGTAAGCTGCTGAACCCCTTCAGCGCCACAGGAGGGGGACCCTGAGGGCACTATAGTGTCAGGAACACCGCTTTGTTTTCCTGACACTATAGTGATCCTTTCATTTCAGAGACAGGTCGGGTACACAATTCTAAATAATTCTAACAAGAAGAATAATCAGAAACATTGTTTCATTTCTCCTCTTCTCTGTATCCTTATATTCTTGCTGTCAGCTGAAAATGACAGAGCTTATAACAATGATTGGTGGGGAGCTAAAATGGAGGCCATCAGTTGCAGGGTAGAGAAATGAGGATTACTAGAATTAGATTTAATTTCCACAATTTATAAATACATATTTATTTAGAATAAGTAAAACATTATATTTAAAAAAATAGTAATAATAATAATAATTGGAAGCAACAGTTTCCCTTTAACAAAGCACTCTAGTTATCTCCCATTTCTGTCACATTGATAATAAGGAATTAAAACGTTGTTAATATGCAAATTGTGATTTACCCTAACATAATTTTGAACTATTTTTGCCTTAACTTTTAGATGATCTTATTCACGGAGGAAGGTTGCAATTTCTCCCCCTGGCAGTCAATATTACCAGAACTTGCCCTGGGATCTGATTACTAAACAGAGATGAGTATAATTAATTGATCCCCCTGCAAGAGGGTAAGACCCCTCCATGTACACTACCGCTCCACTTATGGTTATAAGGGTTTCACTTATAATATTTATTATGGCCAATAATCAAACTAATAAATGTTCAGCATGACAGTCACGTGTTTATTTCTTTAAAGCTTGATATTTCACATTCGTCAATTCACCCTGACTCACTATTTAATAAGTAGACTCCGAGTCACATTTTAAAAATATCAAAAATACATTTAAAAAAAAAAGTGTGATAAGAGACTGGGGAATTCTCACTTAGGGTTCAAATAACTGCAAATTAAAAAAGTGCATTGGCTAAAGAGGGGGCCTTGTCTGGATTATTTATTTAGGTTCCCAAAATGCAATTCTTATAAAAGGCCATTTCTCAGATACTCGTTACTGTTCTAAAGCGGTGCAGCTGCTCACCTAGCATTGATTATGCTGTCATAATCTGATTACTGATTAAATTAAGAAATGGGTGGTCTCCTAGCATATTGCAAAGCAGGTAATTTAATCTATTTCTTCCCTGAAGCCAAAAGTTGCCAGCTATCAAATGATGACTTTGAAAATTACCAGAGAGGACACGAGAAAATAGAGAATCAGTTAGAAAGCAGAAGATATGTTAACTAATTGATTTAGGTGATGATGGACAAAGATGACATTACGGATTTGCAGAGACTAAAAGGTAGACCCCAACTGCGCTATTTTGCATTGCCACCATCGCTATAAGGTACAAGTATTGTGCGATACTGTGCAGACAGAATACATTAAACAGACAGGGCATCCTCCAATTAGAAGGGATATATACAGCATATATAGTCAGTGTTTCCTATTTGCAAACGCAAACTGCATACACAAATATAACCCCTGTTTGCCAAAACCAGTCTTCACAGTATAGGCAGTGGCACTACCTACAGTGTACACTAAAAAACCCTCATACATGCATTACATAAAATAGACAAAGAGGACTTCCTCACACACAGACATTACAAACAGTGTACAAAGCAAGGACCTCCCCACACACAGACACTATATATAGTATACAAAGAGAGGACCTCCTCACACACACAGTGTACATAGAGAGGCAGAGAGGACCTCCTTGCACACAGACACTATATATAGTATACAAAGAGAAGACCTCCTCACACACACAGTGTACACAGAGAGGACCTCCTTGCACACAGACACTACATATAGTGTACAAAGCAAGGACCTCCCCACACACAGAGACTTCACACAGTGTACAAAGAGAGGACCTCTTCACACACAGTACATCACAAACAGGAATTCCTCACACACATACACGCTGCCTTGTAGCGAAGTCATTACTGTGTAAATAGACAGCGCCCCTCTTACATAACACTGTATACAATGTACACATACCTTTGCATGACATTGCAAACTGTGCACATGTACTCTTAAATAAAACTGCATGGGGAAAGGACATCCTTATACACACAATAAGGACCGCACAAGTCTCAGTCTTGTTTTCTACTATATTTAAACGTATCCCCCATTCAGCTCGCTTGCCATTTACCAATGCAGATGCCAATGATTTTAATTTCCTGTCCCGTAGAGTTGAATTGTATCCAAAATACACTACAATTTAGCTTGTCAAGTTTAAGTGCTATTTATCCCCAGAGTGTTTTTAGCAGGGATGGTGAAAATGAGATCTATTACTGAGTGACAAACAGAGTAAGCAACAGATACCAGCTCACATTGCAGATGTGCCGGGTCACATGTGTGTCATACACAAAGAGATCGGGATTATTTAACACAATCTTCATCCCACTCAGAAACCACACAATTTCTATTATTGCCACTCTTACCAAAGCAAATCGTTCCGCATTATTTACCACCTACATACCAAAGGGAACATTACTAAGAAGCACGCTCAGTACGCTATAATGATACTATCCATACATTCTAACAGCATACACTGCGCTATATAATGATACTGAGTATCTATACGCTGATAATGAACACACTGCTCTGTATAATAATACTGAGTATCTATACACTGATAATGAACACACTGCACTGTATAATAATACTGAGTATCTATACACTGATAATGAACACACTGCACTGTATAATAATACTGAGTATCTATACACTGATAGTGAACACACTGCGCTGTATAATAATAGAGTATCTATACACTGATAATGAACACACTGCGCTGTATAATGATACGGAGTATCTATACACTGATAATGAACACACTGCGCTGTATAATAATACTGAGTATCTATACACTGATAATGAACACACAGTATAATAATACTGAGTATCTATACACTGATAATGAACACACTGCTCTGTATAATGATACTGAGTATCTATACACTGATAATGAACACACTGCGCTGTATAATAATACTGAGTATCTATACACTGATAATGAACACACTGCTCTGTATAATAATACTGAGTATCTATACACTGATAATGAACACTCTGCGCTGTATAATAATACTGAGTATCTATACACTGATAATAAACACACTGCACTGTATAATAATACTGAGTATCTATACACTGATAATGAACACGCTGCGCTGTATAATAATACTGAGTATCTATACACTGATAATGAACACGCTGCGCTGTATAATAATACTGAGTATCTATACACTGATAATGAACACACTATGCTGTATAATAATACTGAGTATCTATACACTGATAATGAACACTATACTGCTGCACTGTATAATAATACTGAGTATCTATACACTGATAATAAACACACTGCACTGTATAATAATACTGAGTATCTATACACTGATAATGAACACACAGTATAATAATACTGACTATCTATACACTGATAATGAACACACACTGCTATACACTGATAATGAACATGATACTGAGTATCTATACACTGATAATGAACACACTGCGCTGTATAATAATACTGAGTATCTATACACTGATAATGAACACACTGCTCTGTATAATAATACTGAGTATCTATACACTGATAATGAACACTCTGCGCTGTATAATAATACTGAGTATCTATACACTGATAATAAACACACTGCACTGTATAATAATACTGAGTATCTATACACTGATAATGAACACGCTGCGCTGTATAATAATACTGAGTATCTATACACTGATAATGAACACGCTGCGCTGTATAATAATACTGAGTATCTATACACTGATAATGAACACACTACGCTGTATAATAATACTGAGTATCTATACACTGATAATGAACACACTGCGCTGTATAATAATACTGAGTATCTATACACTGATAATGAACACACTGCACTGTATAATAATACTGAGTATCTATACACTGATAATGAACACACTGCGCTGTATAATAATACTGAGTATCTATACACTGATAATGAACACACTGCACTGTATAATAATACTGAGTATCTATACACTGATAATGAACACACTGCGCTGTATAATAATACTGAGTATCTATACACTGATAATGAACACACTGCGCTGTATAATAATACTGAGTATCTATACACTGATAATGAACACGCTGCGCTGTATAATGATACTGAGTATCTATACACTGATAATGAACACACTGCCCTGTATAATAATACTGAGTATCTATACACTGGTAATGAACACACTGCGCTTTATAATAATACTGAGTATCTATACACTGATAATGAACACACTGCGCTGTATAATGATACTGAGTATCTATACACTGATAATGAACACACTGCGCTGTATAATAATACTGAGTATCTATACACTGATAATGAACACACTGCACTGTATAATAATACTGAGTATCTATACACTGATAATGAACACACTGCGCTGTATAATAATCCTGAGTATCTATACACTGATAATGAACACACTGCGCTGTATAATAATACTGAGTATCTATACACTGATAATGAACACACTGCGCTGTATAATAATACTGAGTATCTATACACTGATAATGAACACACTGCGCTGTATAATAATACTGAGTATCTATACACTGATAATGAACACACTGCTCTGTATAATAATACTGAATATCTATACACTGATAGTGAACACACTGCGCTGTATAATAATACTGAGTATCTATACACTGATAATGAACACTCTGCTCTGTATAATGACTCAGTAAGGGCAATTAACACTTTCTGGCTTAGTGGTGCATCATTGCAAAAATTTGCTCCTTAAATATCTCACCCTGATATGAAAAGTTCTGTGCTGCCAATAGTAATTATGCAGAATATTCCATTTTGGCATAGATTAGAAAAAGATTAGAAAATTATGTTGACAGCACAAAATGTGATTTGGTCCTTACTGAGTTAAAATGTTCCATTTTCTGCTAAATGAAGCTGTGCAGAAAAAAAGTAATTTTCCAAAGGAATACACAGAGAATTAGGGGAGTTTAAATAAACACAGGTAATGTGTTCTAAGTTAAAATCAGATTGTGTCCCAAGACAGAAGAAGTGCTTTTTCCTCGGAAAAATATATTTATAATCACTCTAAAAGATTAACACGACTGTAGCCTGTGAACTGGCATAATTTGTTATGTTTAACTCAAATAATTCAGTTACAAACATTGTCTGCTCCTCTATGTCAGCACCATATATATTGTATATATACCATATTCCATATATATTGTATATGCACCAACTGACAAATCTATTTAATGTGACATCCTAAGCAACATTATGGAATCCTAGAGTAACTTCTATGTCACATATCTGCCTCTTGCTCTCCTAAAGAGCCACGCTCTCACCTCCAGTTCTGCTACTTTTCCACCTTGTTTGGTGGCTGTCCCCCTTGCTGCCCTATTGTGCTTTTGTACCCTACCTCCTCTCCTCTAGACTGTAAGTTCGTTTGAGCCTATTATTTCCGTATCATTGTGTAATCATCTCATTTATTGTAACATTTTCCACCTTTCATAATATTGTAAATCTATTAGTTGACGCTATAGTTGACGCTATATAAATATCAATAATATTAATAATAAGAATCTATGCTCACTGCAAGAGATATAGTTTTCTGGTCCTGTTTTCCTGCATGTAGGAGATTGACGGATACATACCATATGAAGAGAAGAAGGCTATGAATGGACCAGTAGGATCATCAATATCCGTAGATTAAGCAGGTCCACTCATGAGATCTAATGAGTGGAACTGGGAATGGAGGCTGAACTATACATCACATAAACACTGGCTTTTAGACTACTCCCTGAATCAGTGACATCAACAATGTACCTTGACCGAACTATTTAAACAGGGAACCGTTAGCTTTCCATCCTAGAGTACCATGCTCTTACTAAAATGAAAACTACTAATCTTATTGTTCTAGGAAAACTGAAAGTCCAAGCTGATCGGTTGAACAGTCACAGCATCTGAAACAATGAGCTATTTCACAGCCCGTCCATAGCGTGTGGTTCTATTTGATGTGATATTGTTTATAACAATATTGTTGACTGCATTTCGTCCACACGGTGGATAGTTTCAGTTTCCAAACACTTTATAGATGTAGAAAAATACCTTGGTTTTGTGGACATTTTAATAAATTTTTTTTTCATTTGTAACGCATTTTGGGTTCTAAGTCAATATGCAGGGGAAGATTCAAAGAATGGACTTCAAGGCCTGGAGCTTTTTTCGTTTCAGCATAATTAAGCATGTAAGTAGGACAAATGTAACTAAATTAATAAGTAGCCTTCTGGAAAACCACTTCATTTAAGACGTACGTCATGTATTTAGGCACACAGCTCTTGTCTTGATAAATTGCTTTCACAGGACTCAGCAACGCCAGGTCAACTGTATTATCACCTCAAAAGAAATCATCATCGTCAATCTTAATTTAAGCTTCATTAACAGGGCTAGCACTGAAGGGGGCATCGGAGCCTGTTACAAATGATTAAGCAAAATAGCTGGTTCAACGATTACGTTTCACAATAAGTAAAAGAGCACAGGAAGGAAGTGAAGGATAATCTGAAGACGTTGTCTTGCATCTCACATAGAATCTAAGAAGCAGCTTTTAGAATCAGAGCAAACACTTTACTTCTGTATTTTTGAATCCATTTTTACTGTATATGCAAAAGTGTAAAAAAAGGGCTGTGGCAGTGGTATATTCAGGCCAGGATAAGGAGAAAGGGCACAAGGCAAAGGAACAGAGTATTATTTTTTCATAATTTGCCGCCATAGCGACACGCTCTGTCCCTGATAATTCTGACACAGGATATTAAAAATCCTGTGTTGCAGTGCAAAGGCAGTCCACCTATCACTCCTCATCATAGCCGGAAGAGAATCGATAGGACCGAACATTTACTTTAATGGGTGTAAGGAAGAGGAATTTATGGCGAGCACGAAGGAAAGGTGACTTAATGACCAAGAACAGACAAGAGAAATAGTGTCTTAATGGTATGAAGGAGGCAGTAGCGTAACTACCACAGTCGGGCCCGTCACTCCAAAAGGCCTGGCCGCCACTGCGACCACTGCGACCGTGGGCCGGCAGCAGACCTTTAGGGCCGGTGCACCGCAGCATGAGCCGGGGCCCATGGTTGCAGGCTAACCGGCAGGAGGGGAGCGATGTGCTGTGCTGCTCCCCTTATGCCGCTGTGTGTAGTACGGCAGAGCGGTCTGACAAGAAGTGCTCACTGAGAGAGCACTTCCTGTCAGACTCAGACGCGTACAGTGATCGCAGCAAACAGGTAAGGGGGAGAAATGGAGGCTCTGCAGGGGATGGGGGTGGGGGGGCGGGGTTGAAATGGAGGGTATGCAGGGGAAGGGTTGAAATGGAGTGTCTACAGGGGGAAGGGGGAATGGAGGGTGTGCAGGGGAAAGGGGGAATGGAGAAATGGAGGGTCTGCAGGGGAAGGGAGAGAGAAAAATGGAGGGGCTGCAAGAGGGGAGAAATGGAGGGGCTGCAAGGGAAGGGTGGGGGAGAGAGAAATAGAGAAGCTGCATGGGAAGGGAGGACGGAGAGAAATAGAGTGGCTGGAAGGGAATGGAGGGGGGAGAGGGAAATGGAGGGGCTGCAGGGGAGTAGAGAGAAACATGGAAGGGCAAGAGTGGAGGGGGGATAAAGACCCATTGAGCGGCTTGTGGGTGAAATGAGACACATGGAGGTTCTGGGGGGAGTTAATGAGACACTTGTGGAATGAGACACATGGAATGAGGCACATGGTGGGGAATGGGACACATGGTGGGGAATGAGACACATGGAGGGGCAAGAGTGGAGGGGGAGAAAGACACATGGAGGTGCCTGGGGGGAATGAGACACATAGAGGGGCTTGGGGGTTATGAGACAAATTAAGGGGCTTTGGGGAAATGAGACATGTGGAGGGGCATGGGGGGGAGGGAATGTTACACATGGAGGGGCTGTGGGGGAGAACATAAGACATTTGGATAGGATGAGACACATGGAGGGGCTGGGGGGAGGGTGTCAGGAATGTTTGGGGATCCTACACGCAGAATGCAAATACTAGTATACCGGACCTTAGGATAGCCGGTCTAACACTACACACACAAAGAATAGTCAAATAGCGAGCCGAGGTCTGTGTTCACTTAGGTAGGTAACCTCGCCCCCAAAATGTTCTTGTTCGAACACCTTGGCGGGCCGTGGTGTTCTTGGCGGGTTTATCGCGGCTGGCGTGAGAATCGCTAGGGACAAGCTGAAAGTTAGTAGGAGTGTCCCCAGAAACCTGCAATGAGATGCCAGCCTGTGACATGCTCCTGACTGATATATAAGGTAACCTGACAGAGGGAATGAGACACATGGGGAAATGAGACACATCCAAGGGGCCCCAGGACAATTTTCGCCTTGCGCCTCTGGAAGGAGGGGATGACATGTTTTGGCTATAGAGTGGATAAATGGAGCATAATATCTAGAGGGGGAATTACTATCTCAAGGCCTGAGTGAGGGGGTGATATATGACCTTATGGCTAGAGAGAATGGGGAAGGGGGAAGGACTTTTTAGGAGAAGAAGGAAATGAGAAAAGAGATGAAGGACCTTATGATGGGAAGTGATACGTCCCTTCTATGGAGGAAATTGAACATCCATTCAGCTAGGAATAGAATAGAAATCGTATGACTAAATGTAGGGAAACATTTAACTATTGGGTCATGTAAAAAAGATTCGGCTAACGGACGAATTCATTCTAAACACACCATGGGCAGGTATGAACAGGAATCTATAATTATTGCTAGAAATCTAGAATTGCTATTCCTGGTGGTCTCGTATGGAGACCTTATCTTGCCTTCTTCCTCCTACATGTTCTGCCAAGATGGAACCAAAGTTTTGGTCATGGAAGGTGCAGAACTCCAGGGCACCCTAAAACCCTGAGACTGTGTCACTGTGCCCACCACGTACACAATCTACTGCTTGTAAAACCAAAAACCCATCTGTCTGATGAGAAATCTGTCACAGCACAGGTGATGAAATTGTGTAGGTATGCTTTGTTAATCCCACATTTGTATTTTAGTGAGGATTTCAACACTTGTAATTACACAGCATCTCCCTGTTCTCAGATCTATGACCTTGTCCCTCCAATTCTTCTCCTGACAACCTTGAAGTGACCTTGAGTTGTGTGCAGTAAGCTGTCGTGTTAGGTCCTAAATTAACACCAATTTTCTTGCAGCAGTTCCACGCTAGGCTGAAAGAAAACCATGAAATCCTTTAATTAAGGAACCACTAGCTTGAATTTGTTTAACTTAATGCCAATAATTTATTTTGGGATTGCAAATGTTAACCTCTTCATTGCCTGCAAGGATACAATGTGCAGATCGAAACAGATACTAGATACATATTTATAAGGAAATCAAGGTTTGGTTACATTATATTCATAATTACAAATACAAACACTATCTCACATTTATCATTTCAATAGGGCTGAAACATATGCGGTTAACACGTTTATAACATTTCGTTTTTAACATTTCATAGTTATCTTGAGACTAAACTAATGTTTACTTTTGCCAAAACGAAAGCTGAAGTACATGTAAAATCAACATATCTTTGCAGATTGCCATTTTGAATCATCAATGGTGAGATTTCCTGATCTTTACGCAATTCTGGCTACTTTCCCTCTGAACTCCCCTCCCCCACAATATATCTAACAGTCTTTATCTGAAGTAGCCAGTGTTTAGACTACATCATAGAGTGAATTCATGATAAAATAAAGAGAGGAGCTAACACTTTTATTCCTATTTTTTGTGCAATTTATTTAATCTGTCAGAATGTTTGGCAGGTTTATGAAATTTCTGCAAAAATTGATGGCATCAATATAAAGAAAACCTTCACTTTTTAATACATAAGATCAAAATAACAATGGAATTTAACTATTACTTTTCAGAACAAATACCCCCACCCTCCCCAACGCATCTAACGTTTTAGAAGATGGGTTCTAGGTACCAAGTCAGATTCCAGTGAGCTGAGCATCAACAAGTTTCAGTGGGCCTGCATCACTCTTGAGAGAACATTGTAGTTCACTGAGTCAGTTCAGCAGACTCACTGGTACCCAGAGACAAGTCTGCACATTCTGAACAGTGGATTCCCCTGTGACCACCAGACTGCTGTGAGAGAAAACGTGATTTATTGAGGATGCTATATAATCCGAAAATGTGCAATAAACTTCCTCATCAATCTTATTGAAAATTCATGGCGCCCATAATGTTTATCTGAACTGCATCATGTGCAGCCTGAATCTCCAGCTCACGTCCCTGAGATATCAGGCATGTAGGGAAAAGGCTGTAGGCCAGGCCTCGGACAGACTTACATGAATTATTATTCTTATTGTTACTAAATTCCGCATTTCAGTCCTTACTGTACAAGTACGGTTGCCTAATAAGGCATATTATGGAAAATGATCAAAACCTTTATTTGATTCTTAGATTTCATCCAATTCACCATTACATAAGAGATTTGGGGTAGAAGGAATGACTGATCCTTTATTACTTTACGATGTAAAATATAAATTGCCTCATTTAGCTGTCACCAAATTGTCCATTCATTAGTGACAAGATGGAGCAGAAGGTGACAGTCGTCTCCATCACGGGACATCGTCACCGGACTCGCAAAAAACCCCACCAACAACTGTACCTTAGTTCACAGGTACAAATGTAGAGAGATTAATAAGACATGGGGGTGTCCAGCTGCACGCACTAGATGTTATTGGATTTAACCATAATTCCCTGCCAGCTGTGGGTGTGCTGAGGTTTATGGGAGTTGAAGGAGAACAGCATCTGGAGGAACATCTCTGGTATAAGGAATCAGTTTTTTTAAAAGGTGAATATCTATGCGTTGCACAAACATTGCGCATTACACATTCTTAAAACGTGCCCATATTTCATGGAAGACAGCTAGCGGGCTGTGTATATTTTTATGAGCACCCCAGGTCTTTTTAAAAGCTTGTATATCTATGTGTGTGCTCGCAGTGAAGTCTACAATTTCATCAGAAGTTAATATTTTAAAGAGTTTGCAAAATGGAGGGATGTAAACATTTGCCAGGGTACGTGCTCTTATGTTTCCCTTCCTTAGCCATGCAATGCCCGTCATTCTGTCTGTCTGGATTTCCATCGCTCTGACGATACCAGACAGTGTGCGCTCAGTAGTCACTGAACTGCCGAACATTCAGGCTTCTATCCAGCTCTGACAGATGCCGACAATCCCAGCTTCTCCGCAACAAGCCCCAAATGGCATAACATCACAGCTTCCTGTCGGCAGAGCACGGCCTCTCTGCACCAGTCTAGACTAATTTCTGGCTCGCTAGCGGCACCCCTTACAGTTCATCTCACCCATTAATAGATTTCAAATAAATTGCCTGTTATTTTATTTAGGGAGAGAGAGTGGAAAGGTTTAATATATATATATATATATATATATGATATATATATATGATATATATATATATATACATACACACACGCAATATTGAAAGATATTCATTAATTCTACTTTGCATAATTACAGAGACAATTCATCATCACAGTATGACATTGCGAAAAGCAGATTTCTTGGCAAAAAGAGAGTTAACCCGCTGAGCTCCTGAACTCAAAGCGTTAATATCGAGTAAGCAGAGAAAAAAAAGAGAAATTAGTGTTGTTGTTGGATAGATGGGTTTGTGTAATCTATCTACTTGTAAACACGCGAGATACATACACAATCTGTCAATTTCTCTCCCACCTTATGTGAGGGAGCTTGATAAATAGATGCTACAGACAATGAAAAAAAATATCCTGCATCGTTTCTCTGGAATACTGGAATTAGAAATGCCATGGAGGCCTTATTCACTAAACAGTGATTTGTGGAGGACTGGCAACAAAATGACAACCTTTAGACCAACATTGTATGTTCAGCAAACGTGCAAATCTCAGCCTAAATTTCACAATCCAAGATGCTAATTCACCACAATTGACTGTTTAATAAGTAAGTCATGTAAAAATGGGAAACATAATTCCATTAGAGTCCTTATTTCTAATATCTGAAGGAAAAAAAAAAAACGAAAAGGAAAAAAAAAAAAACCCACTGACAGTAGAGATAAATAAATCTCAAAAATAGTGCTCATTCCGCAATGATTAAATGAAGTAGAATATTTTATATGCAACAATTTGGTGTCTACAATGTTTTATACCAACTAAACATGTAAGGATCGTCAACGTGACATGATAGCTACAAACGTGGTGATATCGACTTTGCATACACTATAAATGTAATCCATCAATTCTCTTTCTGATTTAACTGACGATTTTGCATCAGAAGAGTGAAATTGGTGGATGGGTGAGTATGAACCCATTAGATGATGTACAGAACTGTACACGTATCCACTCAAATTTAAATGTATCTTTTGCAGATGTAAGAAAAATAATGGAGTCGGATTTGATCGTTTTCATTCACACATTCATAAAATCATGTGACTCTTTATGATGCTATATCTCATGAACGGAACGTGTGTGCGTTTGTTGGGTGTTGTTGTTGTAGGTATTCTGTGTTCGGAGTTGGTTACGACCCTGTAATCAGTGGTGGTTTCGTGGAAAAACAAGGGCATGCACGTTCAACCATGGTTTTTGCTCATGCCACGGTCAAGATGGAAATATTGGAAATACTGTCACACTGCCACAATTTCTATGATGTTCTTAAATTAATTATACACGGCTTTGGAAAGACTATTCAATTTGTAATTGGCAATTAAGGAAACCTCTCCTATAGCAGCTTTAACTAATTGAAGTTGTTATGGTGGCGAGTGTTTGCACATGAGGTCCTACCTTCAAGTGTTAAAGTGATTATTCAATGGTTTAACCCCTAAGTTTGACCTCTGGTGCTTGACTGTTGCCCAAGACTTTCTTCCTAATTGCCTCAGCCGCCCATCACTGGGTCTCACATTCTATTTCACTCATTGGCAACCCATATTAACATGAGAATGTCAGTTGGTGCTCTTAGTCTTTCATTTGGTACTAAGCTAAACCTTCCTCACACTGGCAGACATGGAGGAGGTTAGTGCCGCACCAGAGGCCAAACCTCAGGGTTAAACTTTTCTGAGATGGATTAACCCCTGAAGGTAAGACAGTGCCTGGGCATTCCTGCTCCCTCTGCAACTTTAGCCAGCTGAAATTGCTTTGAGGTGGGAGAGTTCCTTTAATTCCTTTAAAAAAACAAAAACAAAGTGGATAAAGTCCCAATAAGTTTTGGTGGTCCCTCATGTTGTGATATTCAAGGCTCCCTGCATTACAGCACTTTCAAAGGAATCGCAGGTAAAAGTTGGTGAACCCAACTTGGCAGCGCAGATCTCTCATTTCCTCTTGTAGCTCCTCTCTAGTGCTGACTGAGGGCACTGGGACATCATGTCATATCCCAATTCCCCAGGTCGTAGTATAGTGTGACATCAAAGGAGTAGGAAATAAAGACATACTGAGGTGTTACATAAATTCCTTCCCTCACAGTAGACCACAAGGTGTAGGTAGAATCAGAGATGTACACATCTTTCAGGCTCTGATTGACTTGTTTGCAATGGCGCCTGGTGCTAACCCTCTGGTTAAACCGATAAAAAGCTAACTGAAACAAGCCATGAATAAATATGAGAAAATAATCAACTGTTTAAAACAAGATTTCAACATAGATCACCAGATAACTTAATTACAAAGCTGCTTAATTAGAAATCAAACTGCGGGTGCATTGGAGAAATATGAGTCGTGACGCGTCCGACACCTGTAAATGGAACCGTTAATAAATTATGGAGAGGAAGAAATTAAAATGCAAATCCAGACATTAGGCATTAGGTGTTTGCCAATGTCGTACAGTTTACAGACGCTGGCATTATGTAAACGTGTTTAATATTCTGCAAGGATTCCCCATTTTACAGTCCTGAAACTGTGTCTGGAATAAAATATAACCACTGACTTTGATCTAGGCAAAAGCACTTACCCAATCACAAAAAAAAGACATAGAGGAATTAACCTCTGGAAAAGGTATAATAAATAGAATAAAAATGAATTACAATAAATAGCATTAAAACATAGTAATATCTAAATATATATAGGCAGGTGTATGTGTATAGATACTCAGTATCATTATACAGCGCAGTGTGTTCATTATCAGTGTATAGATACTCAGTATTATTATACAGCGCAGTGTGTTCATTATCAGTATTATTATACAGTGTAGTGTTTTCATTATCAGTGTATAGATACTCAGTATTATTATACAGGGCAGTGTGTTCATTATCAGTGTATAGATACTCAGTATTATTATACAGTGCAGTGTGTTCATTATCAGTGTATAGATACTCAGTATTATTATACAGCGCAGTGTGTTCATTATCAGTGTATAGATACTCAGTATTATTATAAAGCGTAGTGTGTTCATTATCAGTGTATAGATACTCAGTATTATTGTACAGGGCAGTGTTTTCATTATCAGTGTATAGATACTCAGTATTATTATACTGTGTGTTCATTATCAGTGTATAGATACTCAGGATCATTATACAGCGCAGTGTGTTCATTATCAGTGTATAGATACTCAGTATCATTATACAGCGCAGTGTGTTCATTATCAGTGTAATGATACTCAGTATCATTATACAGCGCAGTGTGTTCATTATCAGTGTATAGATACTCAGTATTATTATACAGCGCAGTGTGTTCATTATCAGCGTTTAGATACTCAGTATCATTATACAGTGCAGTGTGTTCATTATCAGTGTATAGATATTCAGTATTATTATACAGCGCTCTGTGTTCATTATCAGTGTATAGATACTCAGTATTATTATACAGCGCAGTGTGTTCATTATCAGCGTATAGATACTCAGTATCATTATAAAGCACAGTGTGTTCATTATCAGTGTATAGATACTCAGTATTATTATACAGAGCAGTGTGTTCATTATCAGTGTATAGATACTCAGTATTATTATACAGTGTGTTCATTATCAGTGTGTAGATACTCAGTATCATTATACAGCGCAGTGTGTTCATTATCAGTGTATAGATTATCTTATTATACAATGCACTGTGTTCATTATCAGTGTATAGATACTCAGTATCTTTATACAGCGCAGTGTGTTCATTACCAGTTTATACTTTTTCTTTTTATGATTACATATTAGACATTACCTCAGTGCATGGTTTGCTTTGTATGAATACTCGGTGTTACTATATGATGCATGTTGAGGGGTTGGAGATGATGGTATTGATCTAACTCTCTGAGTGATCACCCACACCGAGTCGTGGAAGATTTCCATTCCCCATCAGATGAATGGGTTGAATAATCCATGGTAGCTCAGCGCACATTGCACTGCACGCCCGCAGGGGGGACTCAGAGATATGGACCGATAAACCTTCAGGACTCCTTGAAAATAATTCAAGAGGGTTCTTTATTAACTCTTTTAAACCCACAACCTTCACAACTCATCCAACCTCACATATATTATCACTAGCACTTTTATACAGACTAACAACGTACTGCCTCGCACATACTATGATACATATACACTCTCATATATACCATCATACACATACACTCTCCCATATACCATCATACACATACACTCTCACATATACCCTGATACACATACACTCTCCCATATACCATCATACGCATACACTCTCACATATACCATCATACACATACACTCTCACCTATACCATCATACACATACGCTCTCCCATATACCATCATACACATACCACGTACACTCTCCCATATACCACCATACACATAGCGCGTACACTCTCCCATATACCATCATACACATACCACGTACACTCTTACATATACCATCGTAGACATACTACATACAACTTTGCATATATCATCACACATATACACCATCACATGTATCACATCTGCCCTCACATATAACATGATACATATACTAAATACACTCACATATACTATCATACACATACTACACACACACCATCATACACATACCGCATATACGCTCACATATACCATCATACACATCCAACCCCACATATATCTCCTACATTCTCAGAGGCACACTCACATATTCTCACTTATGCAACAAACACCCTCACAGATATTTCATACACACACACTTCAGACACCATCAGAAACATGCTTTATACACCATCATACACATACCTCTATACACCATCATACACATACCTCACATACACATTCTCACACTCAGTTCAGATACCATTTCATACACCATCACATACATATCTCATGCACCCCATTCGACACACGCATACATACCTCATACACTCTCACAATATTCATTTTACATCCTCACATGCACACTGACCTCTGCTTTCTCAAAGCTACCAGCAATTAGCAGGGATGGTTGGATAGAGACGTCACCCTGGCATTACCATTCCTCCTTGCAAGGTCCAGTTATCTCCGAATGCCAAAGGAATGGAAGAGTCACGATTTTGAAAAGTGGTTTACCATTCTACAGCATCATAGACTGGACTGGAACCTTACACATTCCTAGCTATATTTTGGTCCCTTTTTTTTATTAAGTAGCCTCCTACTAGGGAAATTATAAAAAAGCAATGTAAAATATTGTAGGCAGATATATGTTTGGCCACTGCAGTGACTACATGAAATGAAGCCTTTAACAAGTCGTCATTTGCTGGATTTAGATTAAAAAGATCTAATAAAGAAGTTTGCACTTACAATAACAATCTGTAGGAGATGAACGACTAGAAATATCTGCTCTTGGTTTGCAAACCATTAACGAACTTTTGTACCAAAATTTTGAATAAATAAAATGAATTTTGTGCTATTGGTATTTGGGACAATTTTTCATGGAGCTACTCGACCAATCAGAAGTTTCTGCTTATAGGTTATATCTGGGGAAATTCCTTGCTACTCGAAGAGATAGGTAGGCAAGTCCTGACATTATGATTCATGCCAATAAGTGGGCTGAGTGGTTTTGCCAGTGTGAACTTTGAGTTCCAGACACATCACTTAAAAAGTCAGGTCTGCAGATCAAAATCCAGGCGTTTTCCAATCATGTTTATGTGACTTCCAATGTATGACTCACAGCATGAAGCTGAAATGATATTTCACGCATTTTATCCTGCAGCCTGCTGATGTATGGGTTTGTTTCTTATCGAGTAATAGCAAAAGAATGCAAGCCACCGGCAACGATGCAGGAAAAAGATTTATTAGGCGACAAGGACGCAGTGTGGTCTGAATTATTATATTTGCTTTCTTTTAGAGAGGGAAAAGCGCCGTGGGAGAACGGTGTACAAGCAGAGAAATCGAAGGGTCCGTCAAAGAAGGGAACTCGTGAAAAACACTTCCCGCTATTTCATCGCAGGCATTCTGGCATCAAGACGTGAGTGAACATTTAGCACTGGTATCTGATTTCTCAACGCTAACATGTTTAATGGGTTCTTGTTACACTGTGATCCTTTCTCATTTGAAAAGAGGCACTCATTGAAAATGCATAACAGTTTAACGTAACTAAAGATTGGCATGGCGCCCAATCTTAAACAGGTTTTAGATTACCTATGCTTTTAAAGAGAAACCCTACACGAGTCTATCAGAAAGGTCCCACCAACAGCGGCAGACCAAGTTTGACACCATTGAATGTCTGCATTAGGAATCCAAAATGATAATTTCCATTAAAGTTAGTGGGAACCATAAAAATAATTAAATTTTGGGTAATCAATTTCCTGATAATTGACCTGTAAATAGCTGCCGTTAAGCCATTAACAATTAAAAAAATATCACAATCTCGCTGTTGTGATACTTTTTAACAACACATTTACCATAAGGAGAAAATGGGCCTAAACGTTACGTTCAACACTCAAGTTTTAGAAGTCACCATTCTTCAGTAGAGTAGTCATCGACCGTGAGATGCTTTGCAATTCCAACAACTAAAACACTTTTCTGGCAAATAACCAGTGCGAGTGTTTGCACATGAGGTGAATTAACACAACAAACATCCCCTGATTTAATGATGTGTTCAATTCCTCGTTAATTAACTGCAACTACTGAGAGACAAATCAAACACTTTAACTAAAATATAATGTAGCAAAATCAATAATGTTTGCTTTAACCTTCAATACATACCGCAATGTTCGTACAGGTGAATAATGAGCAAATTAAATACCTGCCACCAAATTGCAGCATTAATGTACCTGGGATGTAACTGAAAAACCCACAAAGAAGCAGCGTTTTTGTCTTTACTCTCATGATATCGGCCTGTTGAGCTCGATATTTTAAGAGTAAGGAATAATCGCAAGTTCCAACCCATTTCAGCAAACAAATGTTTTCTGATTTTAGAGACGAGGCTATAGAGTAACAGAGACAGATCCAGGCATTTGCTGTGAATATTCTAAAAGACAGGCCTATGGAGAGGAGCGGAAAAGGGGACTAAAACACTGCTAAAGGATAAGAAAGGCGTCATAAACTAAGATCAATTTTATCACACAGATCGTTTCTCAGAAAGTCATATAAAAGTTCTTGGTTCTCGATTCTGTGCTCCTATCACAATAAGGCAAAGGCCCAGGTATAAATCACTCCTGTAAAGGAACACTCCAAGCAACATGACAACTGCAGCACGCTGTATTGGAGTACCTCGGCTAGTGGTGTATTTAGGATTTGTGCTGCCCTGGGCAGGATGGTGCTCAGGCACCCTACACCCCACCCCGTCAAGGCCGCACTTTGACTGACAGACACTCACTCACTGACAGACGGACACACTCATTGACAGACACACACTCTCATATACACTGACAAACAATTACATACACACACACTCACTGATTTGACACACTGATAGACAGACACACACTATTACTCGGACACACATTGACAGACTCACACTCACTGACAGACTCACTCTCTCACTGACCGACACACACACACACACATTCACTGACCGACACACACACACTCTCACTGACAGACGCACGCACGCACTCACTGACAGACGCACTCACTGACCGACACACACACACATTCACTCACAGACACACACACTTACAGACACACACACATACACACTTACAGACACACGAACATACACACACACACACATTCACTTAGACACACACACACATTCATTCACAGATGCACACACATTCACTTAGACACACACACATTCACTTAGACACACACACACATTTCCACCAACACTCACAAATTATTATTATTTTTAAAAATGTATTTTAAATCCACCCAGCCTCCCCGGGTAAGCTGGAGTGGATTGCTTACCTGCAGTCCAGTGGGGCTGCTGGTTGGGCAGGCAGGGGGCGGACAGGCACAGTAGGCGGCAAGGGAGCTTTAATTATTATTATTATTATGATATTTATGAGCGCCGTCAAATTCCGCAGCGCTTTACAATGGGTGGACGAACAGACATGTAGTTGTAACCAGACAAGTTGGACACACAGGAACAGAGGGGTTGAGGGCCCTGCTCAATGAGCTTACATGCTAGAGGGAGTGGGGTAAAATGACACAAAAAGGTAAGGATAGTATTAGACTAGTGACAGTTGCAGAAGAGGAATCAGTCACGAGCTATTAACAGTTTAATTGATACGCTTTTATGAAGAAGTGGGTTTTTAACGATTTTTTTGAAGGAGTGGAGACTGGGTGAGCATCTAAAGGAGGAGGGAAGCAAGTTCCACAGGAATGGTGCAGCCCTCGAGAAATCTTGAAGGCGAGCATCAGAGGTGGGAGTACGGACAGAAGATAGACGTAAGTCTTCAGCAGATCGTAAGGGCCTAGACGGGACATACTTGTGTATAAGGGAGGATAGATAGGTGGGAGCAGCATTATGTAGAGATTTGAAAGCAAGAACCAGAATTTTAAATTGAGCTCTATATTTTATAGGAAGCCAATGTAGGGACTGACAGAAGGGTGAGGCATGGGAGGTGCGGGCAGACAGGAAGATGAGCCTCGCCGCCGCATTCATTATGGACTGTAATGGCGCAAGTTGGGAGCATGTAAGACCACTGAGAAGCGGATTACAGTAGTGAAGGCGAGAAAG